TATCACATGAGGTAAACACCTCATGGACACTAAGAATTTTAAATTACAATTACTTGTGTGTTTGTGTCTATTTAATGTTGCCATTTTTTTTCCCAGAGCAGTAGTTAACGAAATTCCTTTTCCTTTCACTCAAGAAAACCTTGCAATTTGACCCAAAACAAAATTGCTGGCAAAACTCAGCAGGTCCAGCAGCATCTGTGGGAAGAATGCAGGGTTAACATTTTGAATCTGTGAAGAGTCTGATGAAGAGTCACTGGACTCTAAATGTAAACTCTGCTTTCTTTCCACAGTTGTTGAGAAATGAGACAACATTCTTGTAAAATTGTTTTCAGGGCATCAAGTTGTTTGATAGTAATTATGACTTTTATACCATCAAAAATTGAGTTTAACCTGATTGCACCAGCCCTAACATTTTATGATGGTTTTCAAAGGTGACTAATATCCGGTTACAACAACTTCATATTCTTATATGGATTTCAATATTGAGCATTAGGCAAGGTAGTTAATTTGTAGTCTGTGGAATAACAGAATAGTTTGGATCAAGGCATCTTAATTTCTGTGTTTATTCAAACACATGTTTACTCTGGAAGTTACATTCGCACACCTCCTGATGTACACATTTCTATTACAGACCTCTTGGTTCACCTCTAATGAGCAAAGATGGAAAGTAGTACAGAATATTCCTAATCTGAATTTTAGTATTATGATGTATATTTGATATAATAAATCTAGGCATCACAGCACCAGTGACTCAAGACTGTTTCACCACTAGATCACCAGCATGGCTTGATTCCAGAGGGGTTGATCTGAAGGAACCACTTTGAGTTTGAATTTATAACATTCAAATTTTAGAATTCCATTCCCACTTGTGAAATTGCCCCTGTATGCCTCTGTCTGTCTAAGTCTTCTTGATCTGTACATCCTTGCTTACTATGATCTGCCTGTACTGCTCGTAAACAAAGCTTTTCATTGTACTTCGATACATGTGACAATACAGTCAATCAACTTCCTGCTGATCTGAGAAGTAAGTTTGTGTGGTACAAGGTAATGGGTCTGTATGGAGTTAATGTTCAAACTGCATGGGCTCTGCCAATTTTGTCCGTGTCTCTCTGTCTGTGGGTAGAAACTAGGAGTTTTACTTTAGCTTTCAGAGGGAGCAATGTTTCTACCAGCTTCCCAACATCCTATTAATTATACCTGCCAAATATAGTTGTACTTAAAGCTATCACCCAAATATCATATTATCATGCCTCCACTATAGAGTATCTACAGAGGTGTATCTTCTACCGCTACTCACTAGATAGGCACAGGACAATGCAGGGACAAAGGAAGACTAGTGGCACAGAACTACCTCAAATGACATGTAGAGGTGACAAACACCACAAAGTACCAGGAGTGGTCGTCTGGGAAAATATGACGGTTTGGAGATGTAAATAAAATGGAAGTAAAGAAAGCAACTTCTGCATACTAGGAGCTTAGGTATTCCTCAGGAACCTGAAGTGTTACTGGTCACACTGAGGCATACAAAGGCCCTATTATAATTCCATTATGACATAAAGTGATCGGGCCATACAGCGCAGAAACAGACCCTTCGGTCCAACCAGTCCATGCCAAACATAATGCCAAATTAAACATGTCCCACCTGTCTGCTCCTGGCCATACACTTCCAAACCTTTCCTATTCATGTACTTATCCAAATGTCTTTTAAACGTTCTAATTATACCGACATGCAGCACTTCCTCAGGAAGTTCATTCCGCATGTAAACCATCCTCTGCAAAAAAAATTTGCCCCTCACGTCTGTTTTAAATCTCTCTCCTCTCACCTTAAAAATGTTGTGTCCCCTAGTCTTGAAATCCAGGGAAAAAAGACAATTACCATTAATTCTATCTACATTCATTATTTTATACATTTTATAAGGTCGTATTGGCTAATGTACAGTAATTCACTGCTCAATAATCTACACCCATTGAACAAGGGTTGGGGTATTCATGGGTGATTTCTATGACATGCCTAGTTCCTCTGAGGCATTGACAGCTGCACACTCTAGTCTTGAATGTGGCTAAAGCTGACTGGTGTCCAGTGGTATCCTTAAGTCTCAGTAATTACCAAGCAATTGGTAATGCACAGCAGGAGGTATATTCTGTTACCTTGCTTCAGCTAACAAAATAAACTAAATGAGGGTCATGAAGTCTGAAATCATGAAAAAGATAGATGATCCTAGCAAAAGGACAACTGCTCTGAAGGCTGACACCATTAAGATGTGGGTCACTTCCAGAACA